ATCTTGCTTGGGAACTGAGCCAAATTCAGCACAAATTTCAAGTCCTTAGACATGCAGCTTATAATCTTCGGTCGGGTACTACTTAATTTACTAGTTACGTTTGGATAGGGTTTCATTCCGAATGTTCTCGTCATAAGCAGCTGGACTATTTCTGCTTGGTCGATGACAGGAATTCTCTTTCAGCTTACCTGCGGTACCGAATCGTCGCCCGAAGAAGGCGGTTCTCGGATCTTTTATAGAATGAGAGGACTAGTGAAGTGTTAAGTAGGCATTATTTTCTATTTGTAATAATATGGTCGATCTCGACATGTATCGTATCGTTGCATAACTCCTATGTTCAGCGACGAATTTCATTCTTCTAGAAAATTGAATTACCACAAAAGAGGTGGACTGCGTATTGGAGCCCTGCGAAACGGTTTAGATTCTCGTTTAATTCTCGTACTCCAATTTTTTTGGCCCTGTATCCGCTCTCGTTGGCTTTTCTTATTTTGGCGTTAGAGTCTGAAATAAGAAGCTTATAATACGATTTACTGAGGGAGACTTTAGCCAGACCGACCTCGAGAATTCAGGGGACCACAATAGCTTAACAAGCAAATCTCCGAAAGATGGAGACTGTGCTAGGGTCCGCATAACTAGTGAGGATAGCACATTCAAATATCAAGCAAGTAATACGATTTACCACCGCGTTCCATTGATCGGTGAGTAGTAATTACTGTTATTGACCTTGTTATGACGCGGTTAACGGATGTGCTTATGGCTTAAGGATAAACGTGATTGTTATCGGACAACGGTGGCAGCTTCATTTTATGCGGCTGTGATATATGCTGTACACATCACGCAGCGGCACTTATATAGGCCCCAACTCATATGATCTGCCACGACGCACTGCTTCGGATAGCGGGGGGATTGCTGTTGGTTGCATGCGATCCTCCGCTTTTGCGTTTTTGCCTTTCCACTCGCCTCCATCCCTCGCTTTTCATCAGCAGAGTTAACGTCGCAATACTGGCTCATTTCTTAGCACCGCTCTGTTGCTCATCTCAAAGCTTGGTATTTTAGCACGGTCTGTGGGGTAGAAAGTGTGCAAAATCAGTGAATTAACATGTATGATGTAAATATATTTATTTATAAGTGCAAACTGACAAGAAATACCACTGTCTTACGTTGCAGAACAATTAAGGACGTATGAAGAACTTTCGCGTCTGTGGCCAATGCACCCTATGCATTCGAAGGATGCGCACTCGTTATCAGAAGAGTCAAATATCCAGTTGTATCTTCAAAATTTAATCCTTATTCTTTCCTATTTAATCGTTTATTTTCAAAATTTCATCCTTATTCCATTCTCATATCACTTGCTAGTACGTTGATATATGGGCTAGTTATAACTTTCTTTATTCATGAATAAGTCATGAAGATATTCTGTTGGAATTCATGGCCCTATTATACTTTTTCAAGCTAATCTTGTTTTTTAAAGGTTCTAAGTGTTCCTTTTCTTCTAATAATATTATAACTTTTGTTGTATTCCTATACACTTACTTGGATACTTGAACGGCCCGTCCTCACTTGTTGTGTGGGTCCCAGCACAATCTCCATTTTCGGAGTTTTGCTGCTTTAGCTATTGTGCTTCCCTGGACTCCTGTGGTCAGCTTAGCCAAAGTCTAGCCCATGTCATCAACACTTCAGGCAGTCGCCACCCTTGTGGAACAGAGCGAGATTTGCTCCATGCGACTAGTTTGATACTAATACGGTGGCCGATTCTGGTATTGGTTCACTCCTAGCAGGGCTTCTTGATGGAAAAGCCGGATTCCTTCTCGGCTAGGGAATCCCGCCAGGGCGATGAATGTCCCCGCTGTACATCGCAGTCAGACATCCTGGAACACCTTGCAGCCACGATGATCCGGTAAACCTTTGGGAGGATATTGTTAAATATGCTGTTATTGTTGCACTATAGTTGTTATATTTGACATTACAATTCAATAACATTTTATCCTTCCTTCCTAATAAGGATATGAGATATTTAAAAAGTTCGCCTTGAAAAAAATCATAGCGGCCAACATGCCATTTCAGTTTTATCAGTTATGTGCTGGTTAGATAGCATTTCTCAGTTGAGTGTCATGATACCCATACACCATAACGTTAGTCGTCTGTCACAATATGCAGTCGCCGACTTTCGTTGATCGAAGACCCTTTCGCGACCGTGCAAGTGGAATTCTCCCGATATGGTGTAGGGACCGAAAGATTGTTTAACTTTTTATGTAGTCGTTTTCTTGTTTAGCGATCGCGAGGTTTTTAAACAGCATACATTTACTTCCATAGAAAAACACAATACAATACAACACTAGCTGACGTTTAGGCAGTATCGCCTTCTTCAGAGCCGCTTTTTTCGTGACTTCCAATGAGGAAGTTTAGAACAGCTAATTATAGTCGCATATGGTTGACGACTGCCGACTGCCGACTTTTTATGTAGTGCCTATTAATTTTCACGGCAGGGCATTTTGTGATAATACAACCTCTATAATGCTGAAACATTTGCAAAACATAGACCCCAGGACAGATTGGACCTGAGATTATCCTTTTCGGAGCTCGCGTATTTCCCCCTGCACCGTTGAGGCCCATACTTTGCCTCTCTCAGCTAATTTTTTTTTAACCTCACGGTGTCTTCACCGTGCAATAGGTAGGAAGTGAGCGATCGGAAATAGTAAACGCGCGTTCAAATCTCACCTTGAGGCCAAGTTATGTAAATATCCTAGCGTCATAGTGATTATACGTCTAACACAAGTTCAGTATTCTCCAGTCTTCCCAATGGAAGTGTGTAGCTCTTGTTCGGGTTTGGGAGAATCCGCTGGAGGAGGGTCCCCGCTGCACAAAACATTCCGGCATCTAAGGTCATGTCGAAGCGATAGATTATTGACGTGGAAGGTAGTTATTCATCATTTAGATGGAAATAACATATAACTGTGCTACATCCTACTTTTAGAAAGAGATATGTCGAATAGAGGTTACCATTCAAAATTGAGAGCAGAGATAACTAAAAGTGTTGGACGGCGTTATTACTACTGTGCTGATACAGTCCGCATCCCTTCGCAGTGTTGTGCAAACCCACATTTCGATAAGCAAAAAGACGATTTTAGCCTTTTTATTTACCGCCCATCCTTTTTAATGGCAGGGTATGTTGCGAAATATAGCTTCTATGATGCTGAGATATTTGCAAAACTCCGGACCGTAGGTGTCTGCGATGGGGAATGAACCCGCTGTTACCCTTTACAGGGGCTAGAAAAAAGTAGGCAGTAAATAAAAAGGTTACGATTGTGATTAAAATTATAGCTTCAGCTTAAGTGGGCTCACTGCCGATTTGGGTTCTCCAGACTAATCCCACTGACGGATGATTGCTGATGGCAGTGATCGATAGAACCAGCTGAGAGACAGGGATACGAATGACCCGCATGATGTGACGGTGAACGCGTTCGCTCCCGGAAAGGGTAATATCGCGTTCGTTCCCCACCGCACACACCTGCGGTTCGGAGCTTTGCAAATATCTTAGCATCATAAAAAACGAACGTTCCATGAGTAAAAGAAAACGCAATCTTGTGGCAGCAGATGAACTGCTTATAGAATTAACACGCTATTATATTTGGATTCAAGCAATGAAAGCCTATTGCGCTTAGTCCACATCTTGTACCGTCTGCCTTTTCTTTTTCTCGAATGAACTTTGATCTTCGGAAAGAATCGTCTCCGATGCAACATATTATCTCGGTGTTGTCACTCATGACAGCCGCAGTTAGCACTCGCCCGAAAGCTTAGCGATTAACGTGATTTAGGGAGTGCGCTGTCACTGAGGGGAACTGGTTTCTAAATCACGTTTAGTCCGTTCAAGTGGACGCAACGGTTTGGTCTAGAAGTCCGACAGGTATTTGGATCGTCATCGTGGTGTTTCTTCATTACCATCATCATATACTTCATTTACCTTTTTCACCTAATCTCTGTTATTTTCGTTGGTACATAAATTAACAAACTTTTCAAGTGAGAAATATAACCTCGCGCTAACTTCTTTCCCATACACGATAAAAAAACTAAGGTTGAAGTTGTTTCTGTACGGCATGACATCCTGATATTATTAAGCGAAGTTTCTTTTTATATTGGAAAGATGAAAGAAGATTATTCAGCTAGTGCTTCAGTTATTATTGTTGTTCTGACGTAATCAACAAGCTGCAAGATCGGTACTTCAATAGAAAAGAAACATTGGAATATATCTCACACTTATCAGTATGATTGAAATAAATCTCGTTTTTTTTTTACGTCTTCGTCGTACTGACATCTAAAATTACTTTATATTTTTCCAATTTTTTTCATTTCTTCCTTTACTAACTTCGTAAGAGAGCGTGTAGCGCAATGGTCGGAGGCGCCCTTCTATACACACGTGGGATCGATCGCAGCGCCCGTGGCCCACCAAGCATTCCATCCCTCCGGAGTTGGCAAATTGGTACCAGAATTTTTTGGAGGTAGCAGTACTGTCTCAAAACATCGGTAGGCCACCGCGAATCATTGTATAGGCTAGATATGCACTGAATCACCTCCAATGAAGCTTGGTGAAGTCGAATTCATGGTGCATGTGTCAAGGATTGATCAACGCGTAGAGCTTTATTCTTTCATTTTTTACTAATTTTGTACTTGTGCATGTTATTTTGGTTTCATGAAAATTCTTCATTTTTTCTCTATGACTACCTTATGTGCTTTTTGCTTAACTTCCTCTCTAAAAATGGAGAGGTTCGCTTCCTTCACAAACTCGACCTCCACCTTTCGGGTTGACCACCACTCAGCGATGATGTTCATTGTTTTACGACTTTCTAAGCGTCGATCGTTTGGCTACTCGACCCACATTACCTTGTCTTCCCTCATTGCTCAGCAATGTTGTTGGCAACTTGATTTTGGTTATTTTGATGTTGCTCTACTTCAATAAGCTTTTCGACTATGAGCGGATTCTTATCCGAAATGAAATTTTTAGCATGATCATCGTGAAACGGTTACGTGGTGTAGAAGAGTTCTTGTGGGACCACAACCAAATGTCTGCCAATATTCTCTATAAGAGCTACTTGGTATTTTGTGCGATTTGCCTTTCACTTGCTGCTTGGACAGCAGGTCTGGAGCAGGAGCTGCACAACAACAATTTTGTTGATATTCTGTACGTCGATTGTAGGCTTAACAATTTCGAAAAATTAGCCTTTTTCAAAGATAGTCTATTAAATAAGATAAACAAGTTCTGTACTACCACCTGATCTCGACCAAGGTACAAGAAAATTTTAAAATCAAAATGAAGAATGAAGTGAAAGTTCTTTGAAGTTCATCACTGATGGCAATGACCTTGCCTATTTCCACCTCATCGGCACAGTTATCCGACTTTAAATGCGGGTAACCTGGTATTTCTGTCGGCTGAATCTTTCGTTTTTACAAACTAAACGGTATATAGGTCAAAGTGAGAATAATTCTCATTCAGCATCAAAGATGCGTTCAAAACTCGTAAGCCTATTTTGCTCACCTTTCACGTGGTTGGCCATCGATCGTAAAATACCGTACCATTCTCCTTTATTTCCATATAAACATCACTTGGTACTTCATTCGATTAAGTCGGACATTTCTACCGTTGGAAAAATAGAATCGTCTCGGAAGCACTCCCCACATTTGATTCCTTTCCTCGCATCCATCATTCATGAAGGTTTCCCAACTTTTTACGTGTGGCTTCGACTGCTGCTTGTAGATTTGAGATCTTTTCATCACGAATGTCGTTGAGTGCTGATGGAGTCAATTCTAGATGTAGTCCTGAGATTACAGGGTTAGATCAATCCCACTTGGAGTGCAGAGAGTGATTTTTTTCGGACAACTCCGGTACCAATTTCCCAATTCCGAAAGTCCGAAGCGGAGTCGAACCAGCATTGTTTTCGTGACGACCGGTATCGCTAACACTGCACTGTCTTTCCCTTTTTTCAATAACGACAAAACCAGAAGAGAAATAAGATATTGATGATGGTGATTTGGTTTAGGAGCTACTAGAAATCCCATCCCATTTTCCCTTTTGGTTTCCATATTTTTCCTAAATCGTCCTCTACAAACCTTCTTCAACCGATTTGCAAAATTTCGCCACTCATAAAGTCATGAACAAATCACCATGTTCGAAACTCGTTCCCAAATCTCCATTAGTCCCTGTCATTGGGAAGAGCTAGCCGGTGAGCTCTGCTCTCTTATGCTATGTGAAGAGCGTCACACCCGATATAAGCCGCACTTTGGTCGATTTTAATGAGAAGCTGCCCATTTGCATCTACCTTGCTATGACGTTGGTTTGCTTTACTTCTAGTTGAGCGTTTGGTCCAAAATTTCCAACTAGTTCTCATTTTAGATAAACTCCACTTGTACTATTAGGTTTAAACCATCAAAGATAAGTCTGGAAATTTAAAGGATATAATATGACTATGGAGGAAAACTAGAAGACGGAGCAGTGTTTGCTGCTGTACCGTTCTATAGTCTGGAGAGATTAAAAAGTTATAGAAGCGATTTTCCAAGGTTTTTCTTCGCACTTGCACAAAGAACAGATTTTTCTAGCAAGTCTTTCCTATGTGTACCCAATAATTTTAATCCTTGCTTGCAGCGAGCCACTGATGAGAGCACGTTCAAAAGTGACAAACGGGACGCTATACCTTAGCGAAGTTATTTACTCGCTGTATCCGGAGCATCCACTTCATAATCTGTACAATAAGACACGATTGCGATATGATTACGGGACGACTTATTACAACTACTGCGAGGTTTGGAACACATTTTTCTTTATTAGTACATTTATAATGTTTTGTTTTTAGTCATTCAATTTTATTCTATCCGTGCATAGAGCTGTCTCTAGACGTTTAGGGTACACTTCTATGTCATAGCTATAACACACAGAGACTGACGACTTTCTTGACCTAAGTAGTGCGAAATTGCGTATTGCGGAGCCGATTTTAAAAATTCCACTAGCGGTTTCTGCTCCCCGTTATGTTAGCATTCGGTCAATAGGCATAAAGAATAAAGGATAAAGTTTTCGGCGTTGATCAATCCTTGAGGGAAGCACCATGCATTTGACTTCATAATGCATCGTTAGAGGTGAGTGAAGGAATCTTCCCTATACATACTCCTATACTCGCGGTGGTCTACCGATGTATCGGGCCAGTGCTGCTATCCCGCCAGACAAGTCTGGCACCAATTTGCCGACCCTGGAGGGATGGAAGGCTTGGTGAGCCATGGGCGTAGAGATCAATTCCACGTGCGTGTTGCGGGGCCCCTCCGACTACTTCGCCACACGCGCCCATCGATAATCATAAGAATTATTAAACACATTAGAAATGTCACAGAAGTGTCCAACTGCGCGTTCACAAGCTCTCAGCGAATCATTAGCATTGACAGTAACCTGTAGATGAAACCTTTAAATGAGAAAGCTGTAGCTCCAAGAGAAAAGCCGACTTAGTTCTATTTTAATAAAAGCCTTAATGAGCTGGGCGAACAAGGGCATAAGTCTGTAGTGCAGAAACTAGGCCGGATCCACAGTCTTTTTTTGATTCTTATTAAAAATGAGTAACGATACGATGGAAGAAACGTGGTTTCTTCGTTTCCGCTGTATCTACTATATATACAGTGAAATAACGAAGGCTATGTATTGCAGCATCAGATGCAACCTCGTGAGTCACTACCTTCACTATTCCGAGTGATGGAAATGAAAATTCGGCCACAAGCATTTATTCGAACCGCAGTGCTAGCTGGTCTTCTTTTCACGGTAATCATTTCAATTTATTAGTATTTTGCTTTCAAATACGAAAGACGCTTTTTGCTTCAAATAGAACGATTTATTGGTTCAGGGAAACTTAGAAATCCAAAAAGGCGAAAACTTTGAAACGTTGGGGATCACCGTTCACCCCATCATTATTTCCTCTTGTGATTTGCGATTATGATACATTTTGGGGAGAAAGGCTGCCTTATGGGCTTAGTTGAGTCGTAATTTTACAAATGAATGGAACTACTTGATTTGTGACTGTAGCGAATGATAGAGAAGTTCTTGCAGTGATTAACATCAAAGCTTCCAGAATGCTTTTTTCTAGGGAAGAGTATGCAAGAAAAGTAAATGTGCCTGCATACAGCCTGTTTATTGTATTCAGATGCTCCTGTGTCTGGTACAGGGAAAAGCAGTCTACATTTTGACAACTCGTGGACAAGTTGTGCAGTTTTTCACACGTCTCTTGCCGTGCCTGCAAATTCTATCAACGTGTATACTGATGCTCATTTTTTGTCTCCAGCAAGATCAGGATAAACAGAGTGGGTCTACTAATCTCTTCCTCTACAAGCAAAGCATGACCTTTAAGAAAGAGCACAAAATCGGAATATCTCGTATATACTAGTGTTTGTTTTTCTATTATTCACTTCCTTTCGCCCTTCACATAGTTACAGGCTTGTTTACAAAACCATGCTTTTCAAGCATCTGTGTGGGTGAGAGATTCAGAGTAATGGCAACTACCAAGTCTCCTTGAGCGTTGGGTAGTTGCGCCATTTCGATTTTTTCGCGATAGGTTTCACATATTTTGGATTTGATTTTGAATGTTTCATAAGATTCAGCACGTTAAACAACAGGTGGTTAGTAGGCGGAACTAGAAAAAACCACTACATTGACAGTTAGATGGTCTAGTGACTTTACCAGCTATGAGATTCGTTATAGATACATCGGTACCATGAAATTTATCACTTTGCAGACTTTGTCTTTTGTGAAATTTGAAAACTGAGAAATGAACTAATGCTTTCTACGTAAGATTGGAAAATTGGGCACTGTTTCCTGTGTTCCACTCATTTCTATGGTGCTCTTGTAAGGTACGCAGAATCAACCGCCTTCAAGAAATTTGCGCAGAGCTGGCAGTACTGTACTAAGAGTAATTAGGTACTTAGCGCTCCAATGCTTATCAATCCATATGGCTCCAGCATTTCTTTCATACTTTGCTACATAAGCATAGTTGGCTTAGTTGTCTTGCAAACCTTCATAAATAAAGGTAGTGGGGTTAGTTTTCATGTTCGCCTGCAGCTTAACTGTCGCGTTTTCCTTTCATTAACATATTGAGTACTGGCTGAATATACTGCATCCCATACATTGGCCTAAGTAGACTGGGAGCAACTTTGCTGTAGGATGTTACTGCAACTGTTACCATTCCAGACCGACGATAATTCCTGGTGTTGTTTTAGTCATATGGAGTCTTCCAAATACTGATACTCAAGTTCTTAGTTGACTTTCGATGGGATGAAACAACGGTGTAGATCGCAGTTTGAAGCCCCCAAACACTCTGGACCCACTAAAGGTGGTCAAAATGTTAGTATAGTAGCAAGTTTTTATTGTGATCGTATGTACGACCAATCTTTTACCGGAAAATGTGGAATGTTCATGTAGAGACCAAACAATGATGACCAAAATCAATTTGAGAGCAAGTTTCCAATCAATATAGAAAGTGATTGAAAAGAGAATGTTGTCTATTATATAGATAACATTTTCAATAGTCTCGAAAAAGCTTCATTCGGTCCTAAACGCCTGGCAAGTGCTAGTGGTGAAGAGCTGGAAATGATCTAGCAGGACCTGCCAGGATGATAAGAAGAATCTATTAGATTAGTACTGAACGACATTGAGGAGCATGAATAAGGCAAAATCCGCAAGTAGCACTAGAATCCACTCGCAAAATGCGGAGACCTTCGCGAATGACGGGTGTACGACTGGAAATCGAATGAAGGAAGTGCTGAATTTCCGACAGTATTTGAAGATGGATTATGTAGAGAAGTTAATGCCTACCGTTAAGCGGTATGCTTATTATGAGTTCATGGATCCCAGCACCGGCATTCCATTAACCTCAGCATTGGGTTACAAATACAGGGTTGTTGTACAGCACACGTTTACTTCGGTACAAAACACACACACAACACGTAGGTAAATGTTGGATAACAATCTCGTAATTACAATGTTGCTGAGATATTTGCAAAACTCCGGACCACAGGTGTCTAAGTTGGGAACGAACGCGCTATTGTCCTTTCCGGGGAGTAACGCGTTCACCACCACACCATGGTGATACTTCATTGTCGTTGACGGGTGGTCGGTGATGGCACTGATCGATAGAACACTAGCTAAGAGACAGACGAAACGAAAGACCCGCATGGTGTGGTGGTGGAACGCGGTAGCACCAGAAAAGGGTAATAGCGCGTTCATTCTCCACCGCAGTGGTCCAGAGTTTTGCAAATATCTCAGCAACACTGTGGTTGTATTTCGCTCAGTACCCTACCGTGAAAATTGTGGTAGGCAGGAAATAAAAGGTAAAAATATTGAAATCTCGCAATTTCTGAAAAAGAAGACGAAATATTTATGAGTCATTATGACCATTTTTTATTGATTATTATCAATTATTGTTGTTGATCATTGGTTATCATTTTTCATGAGTCATTTATAATTCATCGAACTTTTTCCAGTGAAATGGATGATGTATTATGATATTCCGTCGTTTTGTATACTATTTGTAGCTCATGGATTCCTATACTCCTTCCTGCAGATTCTCAAAACTAAAACGAAAGTGAGTTGAAAAGTTATTATTAATTATCTTGTATTTTGGGATGTTGGAATATTTCTTCAGTAATCTAACATTTTTTGAGTACTTACTTAACACCTGTGTACTTGAATGGTCCGTCCTCACTGGTTGTGCCGGCCCAGCACAATTTCCATTTTTCGGAGATTTGCTGGCCAAGCCATTTTGATTCGCTGAAATCCTGAGGCCGGCCTGCCCAGAGTCTGCTAAGGGTCTTTACCACCACAGGCAGTCGCAGCCCTTGTGGATCGGAGGGAGATTTGCTACAACGCGACTTCAATACCAGAACAGTGGTGGATCCTTTTTGAGTAGTGGAGCATATAGACATCTCACTATTTTTCGTCAAAACTTGGTCAAAACTAAGTTTTTCTTTTTTCCCCTCAACCAAAGATAACCTTGTTCGACTACCTTGCCCTATTTGGCTTCTTTGCGGGATAGGATGTTCTGTAATTTTTATTTCCTAGTGTAACAACTTTTCGGAGCATGTAAACACTTTTTCCAATTCTCAGGTGCAAATCATTCTTTTCTGCCTTCGTTCCATAGATCTTACTGTGTTCTCAATATTAACACCATCAGTCTACTCTTCCTATAACTCATACCTCGAGTTTAAACCCTGCCACACTCACGGTGAGAGCTTGGAGTTTTGTCAGTTTTACCTCTCATACCTCCTTTTGTTTCCAGTGTCAATCTCAGCCGCTGTAACTGAATATACATGGATGTGTCTGATTGCTCTGTTCTACGTGTCACAAATCAATGATTACAAGTGCTTCACGTTGAACCTTACTGTGACCGAAAACGACACAATACCTCGAGAAGATCTGTTCAACTACTACCCTGCCTTCATGACGGCTGCATTTGACAACGCTCCTTTCGCGAACCTACGGCCGAGGAGACAATTGCGATGGCGACCGCCCTCAACTCTTGGCCTTCCCAAGACTTCTCAACGTTGTCTTTCCAAGAAGCGTCTAATGCTGTAAATATTCGAGTATTTGTGATGCTCGCATCTTAGACGTTTTTACATCAACGTTACTCCATTTTGGGAAATTTCTATTTGATTTCTCTCTATTCGAAATATGCTCCGCACAGACCGATTGGCAGACATCGCACGATGGAGGTCCAGTGTGGTAGATATCCAGAATGAATGAGTTGCTGTACCATGTCGTCATTCAATATAAAGAAAGGATAAGTCGTAACTATTAACTGTAAAATATTCTTTTGTATTATCGTTAACCAGGTCAACATTTTTGTTGAAATGCAACCACAAAACTGCTGAGATATTTGCAACACTCCGAACCGCAGGTGTCTGCGGTGGGAAACGAACGCGCTATTACCCTTTCCTTTCGTTGTTCCTTTCAAAGTTATTACCTTTTCCTTTCGTTCAGACACCTGCGGTCCGGAGTTTTACAAATATATCAGTATCGTTGTGGTTGTATTTCCTATAATACCCTACCGTAAAAATTTCAGTAGGCGGAAAATATGAACTGAAACATTGTGACTGTTGTTGAAGTTTAGGGAGTCAGTGTGAAAAGCAGTTCAAAAATTTTAAACATGCACTTTCTAATACAAGGTAGGCTTAAAGTGGAAATTCCAAGAAACACCTGAGTCACAGAAAAGAGTGGAAATAGCAGTGAAAATGTAATAGCTGAATTCGAGAAGCGAAACAGCGCTATTTACGAGAGCTTGCCTTCCCACGAATTACTCTCTATTCGGTGTAAACAATAGTAAGGCGACCACGTGATAGTAAGTTCTTCCGTTATGGTTGGAGTATGCCATCACTGGAAAAATTGATATTAATACTTAGCTCCAAATAGAAAACCATAGTTTCTGGGTCCTTTATTAACGGAGAATTTAACGAAGCTGTAGAAAAGAGTTCCTTCTATTGTTACAAAAATTTTTGCTTACTTAATTGGATAACTGGATTGCCCGTCTTCATTGCTCGTGCAGTACACAGCTTAATTTCTACTCTTGCACAGTCGTCATCCGCGATGGTGGCATGTTTAGAAAACAGTGACTTCTGCGAGGACCATTCCGTAATCCTGAAATCGTTTCCATCTGCGAGTGATTGCACCGCATTCTTCCTAATACTGTCAAACGCTTTTTCATGAATGATAAAGGTCAGGACAAGGAGCGGATAGATAGTACTCCCGGCAGACTTTTCTATGAATTTCTTACCCGTGAGTGTTTTTCCAAACTTAGTAGAAAAATTAGAGAATTTTTAAGAAACCTGACATAAGTGTCGTCTGCTAATAAAACATTCGGATGCACTTTATTCCTTAATGAGATTTGTTAGTTTGTGAAATCCTAATTCGCTCGTCACTTATTAGAGAAAGAAATCCTAGATAATAAAAGGAGTAAAAAGACAAATTACGAGCTTCAAAATTTTAGAATTTTATTATTTAGGAGTAACTAATCTTATTTATTCTTAAACGATTCGGTTTTTTATATCAGCAGTCGGCCGATGATCGGAGGGACTGTTTGCTCGGTTGTCACCAGATCCATTGGAGTTCTGAAGGAATCGTGTTGCGAAGCTAACCTACTCCGATCCATAAGAGACAACATAGAGAATATAATCTTGCTGGAGTTGCATACGTGAATGAGGGCACAAGATATCATACACTCAAGCTGTCGTCGAATGGGCACCGAAATCCAGGCAACTCTGTGGGTGATGGTTACAAGACAACATAACGAATAGGAGAAGAGCTAGAATAACCATATTATGTGTGATATGTGAGAGCGATCATCTACTTTCCTTGGTAACTAATTATATCTCTTCAACGAAGATGTGGAGATTTCAAACGCTTTATTTCAATTAACATAGGTCACTACGAACTAGGATCAGGGCACTGCTTACGCTCGTACGACCCATTACATGACATTGCAAGGTACACACTTATCTCTTAATCACTCTTAACAATAAGGCTTAGAAATAATCTGTGCTAAATCTATGGTAGCTAGTTAAGTTTTAAAAGGGGCGAATTGGAATAATTCTTTTGTACAAACCTTGAAAGAGGCGTGTGTGGCACAGAGGTGAAAGGTGCTTTGCAGAACATATGTGGTCGTTAGTGCGATCTCTCGAGCTCATCAAGCCTTCGATCTTACCGGGAATGAAGATTGGTACTACGACTGTCTGGAAGGATAGTAACACTAATTTGATACATCCTCAGGTCACCGAAAATCACAGTATTGGCTAAATCAGTACTCAACACCTATAATAATGAGTGATGAATTTGACTGCATCGCGTATCTGTCAAGGATTGAACAACGTCGAGAACATCATGCTTTTTATCCTTCTGCAAAACTTAGGTGTAAAGTCATGAAGTCGTAATAATAATTGTTCACATGGGCTATGCGGTCAGTGCAGGACGAAAGTATTAAGAATTATTTATTCGAAATATCCATTGATGCGGAATTTCATTGACATTCGGGAAAGAAGATTACGTATTAGTTTGACTATACCTGAACTGGTATTTCAAATCAATTGCTGCGTTCGTTCGTGATTCTTCCTTTCCACCACATACTCTGTACTTCCGCACCTTGATGAAGTTGCTCATTTTCCACGTGTTACTTCTTTTTGCTTTCAGACATCCCTCTTTTTGCCTAGAGTCAACCCTGGAGTCCGACGCAAATTTATTTCCACTCATGCGTGCCGCTTCCATAAATTGTGTAAAATTGCGACAAATGTGGACCACCGACACGGATCACCGGCCCAGATAAAGACGAAGACGTCGAAACATTGGCTGAAATAAACCTATTTATCAACCTCGTGTAAGCTCAACAATTTAAATACATTGAGATAAATGTATTCTGCGAGATAGAATAAAATACTCGCATTTTTGTGATTTACGGCGGAGATCTTCATTGCCGGTGCAGCGGTTCGAACCCGAAACAAAGATAGTTAAAGTTTGATTCAACCAATTCAGTGGTAACTATTGAGATAAAAATAGCACTAAAGATTAGATTGGTGCCTGCATAATAACCCACTGCGCTTGTATAAATTGGAAACTCCACATCTCCATTCTATTACATCAAGGGAAAAAGGAAAAAGAAAGGAACATTGTAATAACGTTCTCTATGTATGGGCGAAGACTGTCATTCTCTATGTAAATGGAAGGATCACTAGTGCTTTTACTATTTCTACAGTGAGTGTAGTTCGCACCATAAGGCTTCGAGCTCTTTACTTACTTGATACTTGAACGACCCGTCCTCACTAATTGTGCGGCCTCCAGCATAATTATCATTTATCGGAGATTTGCTGGTTAAGCCATTGCGGTTCCTTGGAATCCCGAAGACAGCCTGGGCAAAGTCTGCCCCAGGTCGTCACCACGACAGGCAGTCGCAGCCCTTGTGGATCAGAGGAGGATTTGCCACTATGCGACTTTGATTCGAGGACGGTGATGGGTCCTGGTATTGGTTTACTCTTAGCTAGGCTTCCTGATGGAAACGCCAAACTCCTTCTCAGCTTGGGAAACCTTGCCGGGAGGACGAATACTCCGCTGTACATCGCAGTCCGACACGCAGGAGCACCTCCCAGCCACGATGAGGCGGTAAACCGCTAGGAGGTTCGAGCTCTTTATAAAATGCAGTTCAACGATGTTCATTCCATGCTCGAGAGCTTATAATATAAGAGCAACGGCGTTTTTACACAAAACAACGGATTCAGTCGCAAGAGGATAGACTTAAAAATCCATCGGATAGGAACAGAAAGCGGCAGGAAAAATAAATGTCTGAAGAACCCTTTGTACATGCATCGTGCACTCATTAGTGACAACCATACGATTTCGATGAATCAACGTGGACTTGTGGACGTGCAAAATGATTACGTTAGTGCTGAGCTTGAAGCCAACAAGTTTTTTGATTGATATATCAGTAAGCACAGCGGGTGCATCTTGTACGAGGACCATTAAGAGCAAAACGGAAAACCCACATTAATGCTCGTTTTGTCTTAACCGTTTATATTTTTCATTTCTTTTAATGTGTATAGCTCAATTTCACATATTTGAGGACTCTCAAAACCGACTTCCTCGTAACCTTGGCATTGGTTGGTAATTCAGTGGTTTTCCTCGATAATCAATCATGAGGTTGATACTATAAATTTTATTAGGATACAGTAGCTGGCGATTTGGTGGTTTAGCTTTCATCAGAACCTGGAAAAGTCAAATTGACCTGCTATAATCAGCCAAACACTTTCATAACCTTAGCAAATACGTCACCAAATGCGCATAAGTCACAGAAACACAAAGGAGAAGACTTTGAAATCGAAGTCACTATCCTCGCAAAGAAATCCAAGACATCAGCTCGTTAAACTCTTGAAGCGTTTTGGATTGGATCCAAAAATCCAAAAGTGAACCGCAACGAGGCCTGCCTTGTTATCACGCGTGACCTATGTCTATAACACCCCAGGCACAGTCTCTGCCCATGTATTATTCTGTGCAGCTGCTCTCCACCAATTAATTGGAATGCTTGTGCGAATGCAAATTTATGTGTTAAGTTTTATCTACTAAGGTTAAGAAAGTGTTTATTCCAGGCTCCGAAGGCGAAACCGCCGTAATATCAGTTATTGTATGCCAATAAATTCTATAATATCAACCTCGTGTTTGCTTACCGAACTAAATCGGTGGATTATTTGAGGATTTTCATGACGTCTTTACACATCTGGTCGATCATTTTCAACTTTGTTCAGTTCGATATAAGCGGTTAATAGAAAAATAGCTGACCGGACTATACCTGATACTTGATACTCGAACGGTCCGTCCTCACCAGCTGTGCGGTGCCCAGCATAATCACCATTTTCCGAAGATTTGCTGGTTAAGCCATTGTGATTCCCTGGAATCCCAAGGACAGCCTGGCCAAAGCCTGCCCCAGACCGGACTATAAGAAAAACAATGACTTTGAATTCACAAGCAAGTTCCGAACAAATTGGTGATCCGTGCCAATTTCTTGCCTTCGAAACTGTTATAATTCACCATGAGAAGAACTCAATCTCAGTAATTGGCGGAAGATAGAATGGCGAAAATAAATTGTACTTCGTCGCCTTTATATGAAACAGATAGAATTGCTAGTGTGTACATCACAGCTTTCAGCAAATGATAAAACTGTCCGAAGTTATCATTCATCTTCGTGGTCAGCTGTCGACCTGAAGCTGTTCCTCTAATGTTAGCTATGGGGACAACATGCTAAGGAATAATGCCTTTAAAAAATTACTTAATACACTGTCGTAAATATTCTAGCGCATTCTACATTAAAAAGGTTAGGATCTCCGAAGAAATGAAGTTTTTTTAAAACACGACGCGGCCTCACATCTACTGCCCTGAACACTGCATTTCTTGCATTCTATTCGTTCCCTCGCATCTACTGTCGACCGAGGTTATGCAACTTTTCGTGTGGGCTCAGCTGCTGCTTGATAGTTCTTGCGTGCGTTTGCTATGAATTTTATTGAACGTTGGTTGAGTAGAGTGGCTATGAATTTCAGGATGGACGCACTATAGGAATTTCAGAAGTGTGCTGGATCCAGGAAAGTCCGTCGTCAAACTGATACCATAAGGATGGGTTGTGTGGCCAGCCCATGGTCTGCACTGTGCCCGTGAGGAGCGGTGCCACTACTACAGCATTACCCACTCTAGAGGAATAGAGTATAAGAGTTGGCTTATCCTCTTTCTTCCAGTCTATCCGTATAATAACATGGGTTACAGGGTATCGAATAAAGACCTACGTAAGATTTTCAAGCTAAAGTGGTACTGCTTTGTATTTACCGTTTCTAGGAATGCTTCCTTTTGCCTTCTACGTTTTCGTGACAAATACTGCTTTCTTTAATAATAAAGCGTCGAAAGAAAACAATTTTTTATTACAGTTGATATAAGAAAATACTACGAAATTTTGACACAATACACGTTTGATGTTCAACTTAAACAGTCGATATTAAGTATACCTCAATACTGTGCGAGTATATGCTAATAATTATAAGATCTAAACATATCCGCATAGTTGATCTTTCCATCCTCTTCGTTACCAAACGGCACATCGGTTCGTCGGATTCATTGGTGTGTCGACAGGGCAGTTGAATACGGCAGCGAATTCTGGTTGATTGGCGAGCACTTGATTTACCCTGAACAAAATCCGAAATATATAACGCAGCACTATTAAAGCGCTTAAAAACCAATCATTGGGCTTCGCGGGCTATTCGCAGCTTTATATCTCTCTTATTTTTCCTGTAAGAAACCCCAAAAGCAGCCAGGGAAGAGAAACATAACAAAGCTGGCGCACTTTTCAACAGTACAACTTGTTTTGTTGTAACCGCATAGATTAGTGGCATTTTACGAATTAAGTCTCTGAGATAATATAGCTGTTCTAAATAAAAAAGGATATAGATCTCGACGTTGATCAATCGCTAAGGGATGCGTCATGCATTCGACTTCATTAAGCATCGTCTGTAGGTGACTGAATGCATAGCTGGCCTTTAAATGACTCGCAGCGGCCTACTGATGTATCGAACCAGTGCTGCTATCCTCCGAGACAAGTCTGGTGCCAATTTTCCGAACGCGGACGGATGGAAGGCTTGGTGGGCTATGGACTCCGGGATCGATTCCACGTGTGTGTTCCAAGTCGCCTCCAGCCACTGTGCCACACGCTCCCCGCCTCAGCTGTTCTAAATACGTAGCGAAAAACTAGGTTTATTCGAATTTAATTAGTGAAGAACGTGCCGATATTTGGAAGGAAAACGTTTGTCGTGGAGGACTTGGTCAACCAAGTTGTCTGTTGTTTGGTGTTCACATGAGACCTGCAAATACATTACTATTTGCCATTTTTTTTGCTCTTATCTCTTTTCCGACCAAAAATCAAGACAAAGGGCTAACTTAAGTTAGCACTGTGATTTCATCTACCGCCTCAGCTTAACTGGGCTCAATGCCGTTGTGGGATCTCCAGATCAATCTTGCTGACAGGTGATTGCTTGGCGCTGATCGATAGAACTAGCTGATAGACGGACGGAATGGAAGGCCCGCATGGTGTTGTGGTGAACGCGTAAGCCCACGGAAAGGATAACAGAGCGTTCGTTCTCCACCGCAAACACCTGCGGCACGGAGTTTTGCAAATATTTCAGCATAATTGTGACTGTATTTCGAATGAAGATATAGTTAAATTGCTATAGAATATGTATATGGAAACCGTTGTGCTACATTTTCTCACAAACAAAAATTGTATCCACCTATTAAGCTAACTGTTGCTGTCGTAGTTTGTAGGAAACACTATTGAGTATCTTAACTCTTTTATTTACTGCCTTTTTCTTCTTAATGGCAGGTTATGTTTCGAATTATAACTCGTATGAAATGCTGAGATATTTGCAAAACTCCGGACCACAGGTGTATGCAGTGGAGACTATTGAGTATGCCTGTAGAGAATCTGGCTAGGCACAAATCTGGAGAATCTCAGATACTAGATAGCAAATCACTTTCGGTCGACCCAGGCCAGCGACTACTTTTGGCGGTTATTACCAGTATCGTGGCATCGCTCTCCTTCCATTACAGCAACAATCTCAGAAGTCTCCATGGCCAACCAAGCTCAACGTAATTGTTGCCAAATATCACTTAAAAAAAGAACATGCTGGCTACAGTAACATAATAGGGATGTAAAAAGTCGCGGTACAGCTTAATAGATCAGTACTTCTAGCAAACCAGTGCGTAGAGAAACCACGAGCACAAAGGACTACTATCTCAACGTTAAATTGATGATGGACCACGAAAAAGAAAGTAAAGGGGTTCAAAGAGGGGAAAGTATGACAGAAAAATCCAGCTTCGACCTACCGTAGCGTATCCAATGAAGAACATTTGCTCACTACTGTACTCTTCTAGTCCACTAATTCGCCTTTCCTCTCCAAATGTTTTCAGATAATTCTTGTACGCCGAAAATTTATTTTTTTTCACATCTCAAGTGTTAAAAATCTCGAATGAAACCCGGACATTTTGGTTATTCACTTGGTTTTTCTTCCCAAACGAACAACTGCTTGTAAGTATTTTCTTAAGAAATGATTTTATAAATAGCTCTGAGTCCTACCCTGAACTCGAAAATTTACCTTGAATGCTACTTTTACTCCAGCGTGATCTGCGATAGTCTCTCCTTGCGCGAGCTTACCATTCACGTATAGGCCAGCTTCAGGAACCTACAGTAAGTTTTCTTAGTAAACCTTTCAATCTATTGCCAAGGCATCGAAGTACGTGGGATGTCGGATCACTGAAACCCATACAGATAGCTACTCTCCGTTTTCATCGTAGGATATCAAGACTCTAACTTCCTTATTCCAAAGTTGGTAGCTAGTGGAGGAATACGAAACAGTTACTCTCCCTCCAGTTGTATATCTTCGGGTTTACTTCGACCAGACATTGCTTCTCATTACTGAGTTTTCCTCATTTGAAACCTTCTCGTCTTCATCATCATAACACTTCGGAATTCCTTTCTTTTTACATACCTTTATGTTGTACTGATCAATAAGGCACTGTGCCCGTTTATTAAACTCCTCTTCCACCTCATCGTCCCACCAATCTCGCAGAATACCGTGGCTGTCATATTGCCTACCTGTAAATAAGGAAATTATTTCGACAATATATCGACTTTTGTCTGCCGCTCGAATTCTCGTTTGCTTCCTATTTTTTTCTCACAACAGACTACGGCATTAAATACAACAGCAGGGTTACTGTGATGTGAGAAAAAACTCGGGACCCCATGTGGCTTTTGACGCCAGGACTGCAATAGCTTGATAACGTTGGTTAATGTCTTGTCGCACCGAAGATTTACGGTTAAAATTTGCTACGATGGTGAAAGAAGGATTTAACAAACACATAACGACAGCTACTCAAGAGCGTGAACAATATGTTACCCTAATTGCTACCCTGGGGTGTGGGCTTAGTTGTCTATTGTATGCAGCCTCAGCCTGCCCTCCATGTTCATAACTAATTGGCTCCAGCTTCGAAGCAAAAGAGAAGTTTAGATGCGCGAAAGCTATTAATATTAAAATTAACAATAAAACAGAAACCAGTATCACGACGACTGTGATGCTGTTTATTAAACAAGGGGCTACATCTTAATGGGATGTACAAGCTTCCTTCCTTTACCTTCCTTCTAAGCTTGAAAAATTGGGAACAGATTTGTCTATGACCAGCTCGTCCATTTCAATCCACGTAAAATCGCTCTTGCTCACTATGACTATTTGGCAACGCCTAAGCACGATTATTCCAGGTATCCTGTGATAATCGACTTGGTCAACATTGGGCGGAATTAAAAAAAAAAGACCGAGAACATTCAAGAAGTTGCAGAATGTACACGCTGAATCTAAAGGCAACAGGAGGCGACGAATGTGAGGAAACGATTTGAAGGAGAAGGCACAGGTGTGAGTTTAACACATGGGAAAAATAGTGAAAAGTTGTCTTTTCTAGATGAATCATATTTATTTTGCTGGAGGCAAAAACCACCTGCTCAGTTTTTACAAAAGAAACTATAAGGCAAAATAAAAGCTCCGATTTGCTAGAAATTAATAACATCAGTTAAAATCGACCTCTGAAGGGATCATCATGAGTGAATTTTCTAGATTAAAAAACTTAGAGCTCGAAAACCTCAAGAAGTAAGGAATGTACCCTGGTCATCAAATCCATGAATGATTTCACGTCCAATCACGCTCCCAATGCCACCATAGTTCAGTGCTCTGAAATGATATCAGCACACCGTGATTTTCTCAGTGTTAATGAAGAACTCAGAAGTAACTTTTATAAAACAGTTTTAGGTCTTTCTCTTTATTTTAACTTGCTTTCTCGTAGCAATTACTACAGGACTGAATGAGTGGGCAGTACTGTGCACTGGTGATGTTCATCGCGAACACAGTGCAGACTCCGCTGTACACCAGGTCCACTTGGTCTCACATCCCCATAGTTTCGACAAATTGGCACCAGGTTCCTTTCTGGAAACAGTTCATGCTTTCTAATTTATGTGAAAACTCTCCAGTACGATTTTCTCAAGGATCCATGGACAATCGGCTCAGTCCTCAATGTACGACATTCGCGGCGAAGATGAAAACATTCGTAAGCAGCCCCGGAACCCATAAGCAAGGATTCGAACAATTTTGTGAATGGTGGATGGAATCGAATACCAAAAGTGCTGAGATCACTTTTTTGTGATGGAGTTGGGTCATGTAATAACAAATAAAGATACGGTAACCAACTGGATTCACATCGAAAACTCTCTTCTTCGAAAACTCTTTTCTCTGTGTACTGAAAGCTCACTTTGAAAAGCTTTTGTGGAAGAATGGCGCTTGAAGAATGGCTGCTGGGAGTGCTAAAATTCTCAAAATGAATACAGAAATCTTCTGAAAGTTTCTTAATTCTAAGTGTTTCCTTGTGCACCACTGGGCAAACCAGAGATGCCTGGTTGCTTAGATTGTATTCGTTGAAAGTTGGGAGGAAAAAGTGTGAATGCGCAATGATTTTGGTTTCAGCGAAATTTTATAATAATAATGAGGTTTTTCCACCTTTTCTAACACGTTTTCCTGTCGAAAAATAATAATAGCGAAGGCTTCCTCACTTATGGTATTTGACTCCTGAACATAAAAGGCGTTCACCGTCATCGGGTTAAAATTAACTTCGTTCCTATCAACAGGCTTCATCAGACGTTTAAACTCGAGGTATATTCGCCAGTGAATCCATTTTTCCATCATTTCAGTGTACGAGTCCGATTCCGTAATGTACAACTGAATATGAAAATTCAAAAACTTTTGCAGATGGCATGGTGGAAAGTAATACCCAGTTTTTTATAGAATTACAATAAAGATCTGTAAAGAGCTTGCTGAATTACTTCTACTCGTAAGAGTAAGACGAAGTTGAGAAGGGCTTTTACTCCCACTCTTCCTAGTGAGGAGATAGCCACGTATAGTCTGCGCTGCTTTAGGATAAATTTCCTCTTCACAGCGCTTCTGTACGGAAACATTGGTCTCGTTCTCTGCAGGTAGTAGGTGTTCTCCCGAGTAGTAACTCTTTTTTATCAAACTTGTCGGGAGGAAAGCAATACTGACCGAATACACTGGTAGCAAACCGTAAGCGATGCAAAAAACTAGGTATATGTAACTATTTATTTACTCTAACCAGGCTATTATTTATTATTGGCAAGGCATTATTTGAAAGGGGCGCTTGTGGCGCAGTGGTCGGAGGCGCCCTGCAACACGCACGTGGAATTGCTCCCTGCGCCCATGGCCCACCAAGCGTTCTATTCCTTCGGGGTCAAACAACTGGTGCTAGACTTGTCTGAAAGTACAGTAGCACCGGCTCCACAGCGGCAGGCCACCGCGAGTCAACGCAAAGGTCAGATATGCATCCGAATACCTCCGAACGATGCTTAATAAAGTCAAATGCATGGTCCATCCCTTAAGGATTGATCAACGCCGAGAGCTTTATTTTTTACTTATTATGTGAAATACAACCACAGCGATGCTGAGATATTTGCTAAACTGAGACCTCAGGACAGATTGAAAGCAGCGATTACTCTTTCCCGAGGCTGACATGTTACCTACTGCACCACTTAGGCACTCACCTTGCCTTTCTCTCTCTCTCCGCCAGTTTTTTATCCTAAAGCTGCTGTTAGCACTCACTGGTCAACAAGTTCACTTGACACTTGATACTTGAACGGCTCGTCCTCACTGGTTGTGCGGCCTCCAGCATAATTATCATTTATCGGAGATTTGCTGGTTAAGCCATTGCGGTTCCTTGGAATCTCGAGGTCAGGCTAGTCAAAGTCTGCCCCAGGTCTTCACCACCACGGGCAGTCACAGCTCTTGCGGATCAGAGGGAGATTTGCCACTACACGACTTTGATACCAGAACGGTGGCGGATCTTGGTATTGGATTAGGCTCTCTGATGGAAACCCCGTACTCCTTCTCAGCTTGGGAGACCCTGCCGGGTGGACGAATCTTTCCACTGTACATCGCAGTCCGACACCCAGAAACACCTCCGAGCCACGATGAGGCGGTAAACCGAGGTTCAACAAGTTCAATCTAGAAAATAAAAATCGACGCTGAAGCCAGTTAAGCTGAAGCTACGTCCAAAGTGTATGGCGAATCCCTAATGTGCTGACTAATGCCGAGAGCTTCATTCATTGTCCTTTTATTGATTACAATCACAAATTATATTTGCTATTGTCCTAATAATTATGATGCGTTAAAGCTATTCTAATGCAGAACAATAATTTTAAAACCGACCGTCGCTTAACCTTCGTAGTCAAATAATCAGCATGTGTTTATATTGTTCAGCTTACACGGGGTCGATAAAATTGTTTATTCACCTAACGTTTCAGCGATTTCGTCTTCATCAGAGCCGATGTAATCCGTGTCGGTGGTCCACAGTTGTTGGTGTTCTCGCTGTGACGTCTTCGTCGTGCATCGAGCTGGATCTTCCTCGGTGAAGCATCACTCTCGAAAAGAAGATCCAGCTCGACGCGCGACAATGATGCCACCTCGATAACATGAACAACTGTGGACCATCAACTCAGATCATCGGCTCCGATGAAGACGAAACCGTCGAAACGTCAGCCGAATGAACAACTATTCCAGTGCTTTTTGTGCTTCATAGGATTTTAGTCTCGTTGTCCTGTTATCGTTGCGGTTTAATATTGTTATACAAAGATTTAGTTACCCATTTTCAGTGTCCGTAGTAATAGCAGAGTTCTATATCAAGGAAATGATTAGTCGGTATTGTCGTTGGACTACATTCAACCAATTAACATGTTCTGGTGCAAAATTCAGAGTTGACGACCTCTGGAAAATCAAACCGCCGCTCGACAACGAGATCGCCTATTCGAGCTTCTTCCTCTTGAGTCAAAGTAACTGGAATGCAAAAGGTGTTCTATGTGTAAGAATCGCGAGCTAGTACCGTCGTTGAAATCATTAATTTAAAAACGCGTACACGGGGAAAGGGCATCTTTCGATTTTCCTTCTATCGTTGTTTGTATTCGTAATGTGCTCGCTACATTATTAATTTTTTGAATCCTTCCAAAACTTCATTTCATGGGGTTCTTAGGATTTCATTGTCCAGCATTTTTCGATTATTTGAAAATGACCGAAAAAGCTTAAAGGCTAAGTGGTAGTTTATTATTAGAAATTTTGTGCAAGAAATCATTCAATACTACTCACCCCACTGTAGTAATCGTCAAGCTTCTTGTCGTCAAGAATGAAATCCGGATATCCAACCGCTCGTTGAATCTTCCTTGCTTTATCGAGGGCCGACTGATTATTTAACCTTTCTTAAATGCTTTTTATTCCAAAATTGTTCTCCACTTACTGCCTTTGTAGAGCTGTCAAGCCAATCGTTTTCGACCAGCATGTCTCGAAATGCTTCCTGCACGTAGTTGACCATCTCCAGCGTAGCATTTTTCGTTTCCTTTAAAAGATTAAGTACTTTATCGTTTTTCCAAATCTTCATTCAATCTTCCTCGCTTATACATTTTTACTCCATATTAACCCAAGTAACCCAATTTAACAGATCTCCTATAAAAGTATTCTTTTCTTATTTTGATGGCACATATAGAACAGCTCGTGTGGAGCAGTGGTACGAGGTGCCACTGCGACATATAGGTTTAGTGGATCACCGCGCCCATGGCTCACCAAGCCTTCCATCCCTCCGGGGTCGGCAAATTGGTACCAGACTTGTCTAGGGTGATAGCGGCACTGGCTGGATACATCGGTGGGCCACCGGGAGTCATTGTAAAAGCTAGATATGCATTCGATCATCTCCAACGATACTTAGTGAATTCGAATGCACGGCGCATCCCTCAGGGATTGATCAACGCCGAGAGCTTTATCCTTGATCCTTTACAGAACAGGTATAGTATCAAAACAAACAAATTTAGAGCTCACCTCGTCGAATGCCTGTTTTATGTACAGTGCACCAGAAGCGCTTGGCATTTGTATCATAACACGACTTACACAATCCCTCCATCTATCTGGTGCTACCCATTGTCCGTAAACGAGATTGTGGAGCTCCTTGAAGGAGATTAGCATACAATAAATTTGCTCATAAAAAACTACTGCTTAGGCTTTCAGCAACTTTTTGCTCGTCAATAATGGAAGTATTCTAGGAAATAAAAAGATAAACTTCTCTATCTAGTTTGTAGAATGGGGCGCGTATGGCGCAGTGGTAGAAGGCGCCGTGCTACACACACATGGGATCGATTCCCTCGTGCGTGGCTCACCAAGCCTTCCATCCCTGCAGGGTCGGCAAATTGGTACCAGACTACTAAACGTGATAAAGGCGAATGAATGGCCCATCCCTCAAAAATTGATCAACGCCGAGAGCTGTATCCTATTTTTTTGGTTTGTAATATGCTTCATTACATGATCGAACATTGTGCAAGGATTTCGCAGATCATAAACTCGTGTAGAAATCAGATTTAATCACAATAACGGTACTCCCATCAATCCTAATCTGCTCCGAATAAATATCAATCGAAAACATCAAACTTGAACCGCCAACATCTTTCTGATTGTTTCTGATTTGTAATTTCGATATCACCTTCTTGAATAAAGAAGATTTGCCCACATAGTATCCATCCCATAATCACAGTAATTAAAATTACTGCAAAAGTTTACAACGAGCCTGTAAAACTTCGTGATATTCCATTCCAAGCTCGTATCCCCATTGGAGGAAGTAGCAGGTATAAACATAGTTTGCGATAACAATTGAATCCGTCGAATTGAGAAGTTTGGAGAGTCTAGAATCGAGTTATTGTACGTCAGCATAAAGCAGCTTTCCAATGTCGACGGTACCTTTTCATGTAGTAAATTTCTTCTATGACAATTTGCGGATCAGCTGCTAGGTAGTCGCGGACGGTCGGTGGCATGATCGAATAGAAAAAATTGGTCCAGTTAACCTAAAAGCACTTGCGCTTTTATTCCACGCACACCTTGGTAATATCTTTTTTCAAAGGGAACACTTTTATGAATCCTACACATGTGGTAACTGGAATTCCCACCAAAGGCATTAGTGCTTGCATCTCACTGAGCCTTCTCAGATTGTGCATTTCTGTCTGATTCCTTCGATCTTCTTCAGCCACCATAATTTTCGCAAGCTTGCTCTCGAAGTCTATGATCTCTGCTACTTCGTACTCAATTTGTCTTTCATTGACAGAAACACCGCTGGCGTCTCTATGGAGCAGTTGTACCTCAAATATCCAAATGGCGCTTTATTTTCCGTTCAGAGCAGTTGCTCTATTTTTTAATTGTTAACGAAGTTTGGGTTTATTCACGTAATCAACCAACCATTTGGATAAAGTGTGCTTTATAGGATTTAATGATTTCATCATATTTTTTTCTATCCAGATAGTAATCACGATGTGGAGCCAATCGAACCACTCCCTGCGAAAGCTGAAAGAGTCTATTGCTTACACTCCGTGCGAGGTTATTTAGGGACAATAGAAAAGCCCAAAATAAACTATTCACAAGGTGAATATTCATTTATGACACTAATAGTATGCAAAACGTGAAAATGTAAAAAAAAAACATTTGCTAAAGGGGAGCCAAATAAGATCAACCCCATTACCCAGATCAGCCGACGAGATGTGTTTTTCTGGTCGATTCCTACGCCGAATCTGACGAAGACTTGAAGTAGTCCACTCTCATAGACGTTGCTCAGAAGTGTCGTCAAGCTGAAGTGTTCTCCACGCCATATGTCGCCTTCGAGCATTGGCCATGGTACAGCAAAGCCCTACAATGAGAATAAAGTTTTCATGTTTGCAAACTTTTGTGTATTTTATACATTTGTTCAATTCAAATAAATTGCAAATGAAACGACCTATATTGACAAGTATATCCCTGGCCATTTTGCAAGGATTGATTCACTACCAAACTCTTATCGAAATTTTCAAGAAACGGTGTATATGATGTCGCCCTTGAAAACGGTATCGGTTTCCTTGTTTTGTACAATAGTGATGTCCAGTGTGCCGCGATTTCTTTGTTGCATTTGTGTATCAAAGCCATCTGTGAACACCTCTTGTTCACGACAGAGCAATCGCCTTTTGAGGAAGTTTGTACAATCTCACTCTATTATAAAGGTGTACACGCTGTCACCAAAGTTTTTGTCGCTCACAACTGTGAGGTCCTTGCAGAATGAGAGTTTATCAACGTCTTTTTAAACAGCGTGTCTGAAGAAAGAGTTCACAGGATCTCTCCACAAAATGCTGCTCATCGTGTCAGCGATTTCGTCAGAAAATTGTTTACTTGGTAGTGTACGGTATACTCTGGTTTCAACTCACATTTGTAATTTATGGCTGTTATTGTTTGCATTTCGTATTGGACCAGTGGTTTTTTCGGTGGTGAAGTTATGGTGTACCTGTGGCCGTGTTACTCTGCGTGGGACTTCAACTTACAAAGGAGCTGACCCCACTCCGTAACCACCCAGATTAACAATGCTTTCAAAATTTTTATCCTTACACCTGAGAAAACTGATTAAATTGTGCTTTATTAGACCCTGACGGCCTACCCATACTTCGGAAGTGGAAACCTACCAAAGTATGGGGCAGTGGGTGTCCTTGAGAATGAAAAACACCTTGCTGCCGTTTTAGTAGCTTATTGATTTATTAATACCACTAAAGCGTTGTTTTAAATTCACAATTATAGCTCTTATGTGTGTGCTCAAATATCGTTGCAATCCTTTTTTTTAGCATGAACCCTCTTTCACACTTACTGTGTTGATTCTGGCACCTCTTGCATTCGATTCTTTTCTCGCAATCATCATCCAGTCTAGGAGTGTCTCCTTTTTGCCTATGGGTTAGGCTACTGGGCTACTGCTTGAGGTTTCTCACTTTTTCCATGAACGTCTATGAATGCTGGTTGAGTCGATGCTCACTGGAGTGTGGCGTCCCACATGGACTCCACAGTGCGAGCTTTCCTCAGACAAGTCTGGTGTCAATTTCCCGACCCCGGAGGGATGAGAGGCTTAATGAGGCGGTATGGAGTCCAGGAAGCGGTCGCGAAGGTCAGCATCACTACCACTGTGACACCGGCCCACATCGCAATCTACTCCACAAAAACACCTACCCGTATCACCTTTAGCAGGTAACCAACGCCGTTTAGATTTTTCTTATCCATACATTTACGGTACATTGCTTTCACTGCGCGTGCGGATTTTGACTCAGTAACGTCGCTCGATTCGAGGATTTCTGAAAAATGCTCGTTAAATACAGACAGACAAAACGAAAAAAAACAGCCTTCTGCTTTTAATATTAAAATGATATTAAATCGCCTCGAATCTTATTTTGTTTTATCTGGATCTCGGATAATTCAGTGTTGAAGAGCAATATATTAGTGGAATAAACTCAGTCGTGAAGGCTTTAGTGGCTACCTCTGATTTTGTCATGAACTCGTGTTTCAAGAATTTCGGACTGCCTTATGTTATCCATTTTGCGAAAATTTCCTCTCCAATTCCCGCAAGTGAATTCATAGAAATTCGAACATGGATCCGCCTAAACTGCAAATACCTTTAGCAAGCAGAATCGAGGTGCAAAATTCTCTATCTCTATTTTCCAACAGAATATGCTCCCGATAAGAGGTAATTGGTTTCTTCTCATCTACTTTTTATATATTTGCTTTTGCGTTTTGCCTATTTGACGGGCGCATGTGACGCAGTGGTCGGAGGCACCCTGCAATACACATGTGGAATTGATCCTGGCGTTCATGGCCCACCAAGCTTTTTATCCTTCTAGGGTGGGCAAATTGGTACCATTCTTGTCTGGGAGGATAGCAGAACTGGTTCGATACATTGGTAAGCCACCGCGAGACATTGTGAAGACCAGATATGCATTCAATCACCGACGAAGCTAAATTAAGTCGAATGCATGGCGCATCCCAGAGGAATTGATCAAAGTCGAGAGCTTTATCCTTTTTATTTTGCACCTATTTTTCAAACAACATCGTTTTCTTTCTAACTGCAAATTTGCATGTCTGCTGTAAAAGAAAATAAAGAAAAGTTCGAAAAGTGGGACATAAATCAGAATAATAGTGATGCCGTAGTATCTTTGTTGTTAAATTATTTTACTAGCTTCTAACGCGAACATTCTAAATAAGCTAACCGAAAGGTTAACGGATTTGATGAGCATATCGGATGCCACATTATATCCCGGTGGATCGGAGCGTTCTGGTTCATAATCGCATGGCCCTGCGAAATGCGGTACCGCAACGCCAAAGTGTACCAGTAGCACAGCAATCCAGGAAAGTGAAGCCTAAAAGAGAGCTTTATATTCCAAAACTTTTCATGGAGGAACATCGAGCTGAGGATGAAATCAAACACCAAGTTTGATTCTAACCAAGTGCTTTATTATTGCGTTGCTCCACCACTTTTTACTCTTGACACGTACTCATCATCTTCTAAATAATGGTGCTCAAGCATTGAAAGGCTTCATGAGGAGTAATGCATAAACAGTTTCTAAGGTTTTCGTAACGGCAATGGGATGCCTTCATGATTAGGGCGGTGGATGCCTTTCAGCATTTCCTTCTGCTATCTGAAGCCCATAATCCACGCTGCCCTTCCAGAAGTCTGTCACGTCAAGGGTTGCAGGATAGCTAATCAGTTACAATGCAACAACCGTTCGTAGTTTGAAAGACACTGGAAAGGAGAAACAGCTCGATAATGCAGGATAAATAGAACAAAAACCCGCGATATCTTTGTGATAAAACCAGAACTACCTTTATTTTACGCGACAAGAAAGGAACGTCTCCTAATCTCATCGTGACGTATGAGCTTAATTTTTTTCATGATACGTCGTTATAGGTTTTTCTTTCCATTAGAAGAACTTTCCATTGCAGAGGAACTATTTCTCAAGGTATGCGAAAGTGGAGGATTCAGTGGTATTAGCATTCTCGCAAACTTGAGCATTTCCAGCAGAATTGGTTACTCAAGGTTGCTCAGGGCCCAATTCACCCGTCTAGGGTTGAAAAGGCGTTGTGCAATGCCAGCTTCGACCTTCTTCCTCGCTTGCCTAGTATCACCCACTATGGTGAAGATGGGA